GAAGGAGGGGCCCCAGGTCGCTGACCCCCTCTCCCCACGCACCCACCACTTTGAGGCCGACCTTGGCAGTCAAAAGCATTTGCTCAGCCTCTTTCCTGAGAGCCGCTGGGTGCCTGGGGGCACTGGGCACAGAGGTCTGTCTCCTCTCTGGTGTCTGCCCACCTGTGTACCCTTGGGTTGGCCAAAGCACCAGGGGTAAATCCAACCCAAGCCCCTCCAAGGGTGGGGGTCTGAAGGAGACAGGGCAAGATGCCGAGAAATTGGGGAGGGGTCCTGGGGAGGTGGCTACAGCCTGGAGCAGGGAAAGGGATCACTGGGTCACAGCTGCTTCGTATCGGGGTTCCAGATAAACATAGTACCCTGTTAAAATTGCTGTATTGTTAATTAATTAAACAGGTATAATCGGCAAAAAAAAAAATCCCCTGCATTATCAGGTGGATTCTTAACCACTGCGTCACCAGGGAAGTCACTGGGTGCAGTTAGTCCCTGTGGAAATTCCTGTCTGTCAAGGATCTTTCACTACTTTGGGGGAGAGACTCCAGCGCTGGTAAAGGGAGCTAATCATTGGTGCTGGGAAGCAGGGGGACCTCAGGGTCTGCTGGGTGGGGCAGAGGCTTGTGGATGAGGGTGGGGGTGACAAACAGGCATCCAGGTCAGAATGGAAGGTAGGGGGTGGGGATTGGGATCTTTTCATCTGAGTGAAGGTTTCTTAAGGGCCAGAGCTGGGAAGTAAGGCAGAGGGGCTGGGAAGGTAAGTGAGGAAGCCCTTGTCCCCTCCCACATATCTGTGCCCCACCTTCTGGTGTGGAAGAATGCTACCAGACTTACCCCTTCACCAAGTGAGGCTGCTGCTGGACCACACAGCTGCAGGCTGCAGCCCCTTTCCTCCCCTCCTCCTCTTTAAGCCCCTTCTCCCGGTCCCCCCAGGATTCCCTTGGTCTGTGGCTGAGTGTGGAAGCAGGGTCCTGCCCGTGTGGGCCCCAGCTTCCAGGTACTCAGATGGCCCTGCAGGGATCCTCTGGGCCAGGGAGGCCTGGGTACCAACCCCATTCCCAAACACAGGGCTCTGGGGGAGATTGGTCTCACCATCCCCTCTTTCCACCCCCTTCTACTCCAAGCAGAGGCCTCACCTCCTGGGCCCTCCTCATCAGCCATCAGTCCCATTCTCTCTCTTTGTGGCTTGGGCCATGTTTGAGGATGAGGAAGAACCCCTGCTGGGCCACCACCAGAAACCTCCCCATCTACCCCTGCTCTCCCACCCCAGGCCCTCCCTGGGGCTGCAGCAGGCCCCAGGCAAAGCCAGAGCCCCTTCCCAGCCCGCAAGCTGGGTGCTTGCTCCCGCACATTCCCTCCTTCCCTCCCTCCCTCCCTCCCTCTCCCTGGGCTCTGAGCTGTGGAGAAGAATGATTTCCTGTAATTGGCCAGCAATCCGGCTGCCCGACTTGTTCTATCGACATGCTGGTTAGCTGGAAATTGTATTGGAATCTGAGCGATGGGGAGGGGAGGGTGGGGAGCAAAGGGAGGAGGCTCTTTGGGCCCCAGCTGGGTGCAGCCTCAGCTCTGCGGGTGGGACAGAGGGGCCACCAGCCACATCTCCCCTTCCCGGGGAAGGAGCAGGAGAGCAGCCCACAGAGCCTCAGCATCTCCTGCACTTTGCTCCTTTTCATCTGCCATCTCTGGGGTCTCCCCTGCCCACCCCGTGTGGCCCCGAGGCCTCGGGTCATCACTGCCACCCTACTGCCTCTCCTGCTCCTGGGACTGGTTGCTCCTGACCTGGAGTGCCTTTGTGACAGCAGCCCTGGCTCTCTCTCTCTCCCATCCAATTTCTAGCCATGGTGGCCTGTTATGGAGTGTCCCAAACCTTCCCCTGCCCCTCCCTTCACCCTCCCAAGGACAGAGAGAGACTGAACATCTGAAGAGTTGACAATAACTCCTAGCTAAAGACCCGAGGCGTCATTAATGGGGACAGTGCAGGTAGTAGGAGGGGCATTGTACTGGGAGTCCAGAGCGTGGGATTATGCCTATTGGTTACTTGGGCCCCCGTGGCTCAACCTCTGAACCTCCTGCACTCCTTCTCAGAGTTGGGGGACGTCAAGGAGATAGCTGCGGGATGTGCTTTGGAATCTGTAAGGCTCTACTAAGTACCCTATGGCCAGCCTGGGCCTGGGGATGGGGATGGTTTTAGGGGCCCGCCTGTCCCCTTCATCCCCCCGCCGCCGGGAGGCCGGTGCGCCTGCAGCCCTCGCTGGCGTCTTTACTGCTCCGCGCCGGGGCGGTGAGGCCTAGAGTGGGTGAACTGAGGGCAGGGCCCGAGCGCGCGGTTGGAGGGTGGGAGGCCTGGGGAGCGTGCCGGTCGCCCTCGCACGGAGTGGAATGGGGACACATCCGTCCGCCGCGCGGCGCCAGCAAAGAGGACGCAGCGAGCCGCACGGCTTGTTAATTAGCGCCCGCGCCGGGGCCTAGCGCCCGCGCCTCCGCGGCTGGGGGGGGGGGGGGGGGGGGGGGGGGGGGGGGGGGGGGGGGGGGGGGGGGGGGGGGGGGGGGGGGGGGGGGGGGGGGGGGGGGGGGGGGGGGGGGGGGGGGGGGGGGGGGGGGGGGGGGGGGGGGGGGGGGGGGGGGGGGGGGGGGGGATCTGACGCCGCCGCAGCACCGTAGGAGAGGCGGAAACGCCACCGGGAGAAAGTTAGTAACCGCTCGGCGAGCACCTGCCGCCGAGGCTCGACCCCAACCTGGGTGGGTGCTGCCACCTGCCGGCCGGAGGGGAGACCGCCCGCCCGGGCGCGGGGCCGAGGCTCCCGGGGTCCTGGCTCCTGCTGTATCCAAGGGGCTCCCGAGCGACCTAGACATGAAACGACGCCCCAGGGGAAGTAGGATTCTTGTAAGGCCGTCTTGGGCCACCAAGCCTGGGAAAGGGAGGCCGTGGGGAGGGAGGCAAGAGGAGGTGAGTGGGAGCTGTAGCAGGACCTGGGCAAGGGGAGGACGGGATGGCATTTTCTCCACACCTTAACAGGCTGGCCATCCTCTGACATTCTGGCATCCAACTCAGTAGACTAGGTCAGGGAGGAAAATAACTCTGGAACTTTATAGTTTGCAAAGGGCTTTCGCTGTTCTCTGACATAAGCATCATGAAGTTAAGAGGTCACATAAGTAGGAGACAAAGCCCAGGGGGCCAGAGCGGTGCCAAGTCTGCTGCCCCTTCCAGGCAGGCCCAGGGACACAGCGGGCAGAGCTCGGAAGCCTGGCTCTGACATGAATAAGATCATCCCTCAGAATAATCAATGCTGTTACCTCCGGGTGTCATACATCCAGCAGCGTCCGGCATGTCACACCTTCACGAAGCGCCATCTTCTCAGTGACTAGGGTAACAGGGCACTGGGAGGAGTCCATACCTTTCCTCCCTTACCCGCTCTTGCCAGGTCTCAAACCGGAGAAGCGGCTGCCCTCTGCCATTCTCATCCTGCCCTGGCCCTCACCCCACAGCCTGCCACCACCTTACCAGCCTTTGCCTCTCGCGGGTTTGCAGTGAGTTAATGAGCTGCTCTGAAGTATGAGCAGCTCTGGGAGAGGGGGCACTAAGTATGGCCACCACAGCAATCGCATTTGTCACACTCATTTCTGGTCTTAATAGGCTGCTGGCTGCAGGATCAACACATCAGCAGGTCTGCCGGCTCTGGCAAGGGGAAGCTGATGTCTACATTGGTCTAATTGGGTTGGGGAAGGAAGATGGAGTATGTGGGTGTAAGGCTGCCCCAGCACCTCCGACCCACCTCCCACAAGGGTACATCTGGACCTGGCTGGAATCCTCCTGGGGCCCCAGAAGAAGTCAGAAGGCAACTATACCTTCTGGGCCCAGGGAAGTGAGGAGCACAGGTCTCAGTGTGGGAGGAGGCCAAGTTTAACCCCAAGGGTATCAGCCAAGTCTGGGAACCTCAGTCAGTCGGTGATGCTGGGGGAACAATGGCAGCACAGGGCATTTCAGATCAACACACTTTATTCAGCACCAATGGCGAGCCAGGCTCTGCACCAGGAACACAGATGAATAAGACACAGCTCCTGCCCTCAAAGGGCTTACAGTCTAGTAGGAGAGACTAACCAGTTTTTGGCTGATTATTATACTGTGGATTCAGGTAAAATGTGGGGCAGGGGGTATCCCAGAGCACCTAACCCAGCCTGGGGCTTTAGATGGTGCCTGAGCTGGAAGGTAGCCAGTTGTAGGGAAAAAAAAAAAAAGGTTTTC